CGTACGTATATGCATGTCACTGAATTAATTTAAAAAAATCTTTTCATTAATAATTTCTACACAACATGCGTTGCCTTGAACAAACGTAAGGTTCTGATGAAAATCATTAATAAAAATGTTGACACGAACATTGATGTACTAAATACAGCTTACTTTAGCGAGGGCATTTGACGAAAGACTGAAATACAAGGAACATTTAGACTTTAGTTCGTAAAGAGACAAACCAAAAGTATTAAGCAAAAGCAAAACGGTTTAGATGGCTGGCAAAGGTTAAGAGTCGAAAGTGGGGATATTAAAGGCACGACGGTTGGGCGTATATGAACATGTCGACAAGAAATGCCGTCGTTTGGTGTTCCAAATTTTCGGACGACAGTCGTGGGCCAGATAGCAACGCACTCACACTCAAATCGAGCCACGTTCGCCAAGAAAGCCTCGTATATTGATTATTTCAGAACCGAATCGCAACGAACTGTCTTTCCTTCGATGCTCTCGGCCTAACCTCTTTCGTCGAAGATTACAGTGGAACATGACAAAAGGTGGCATCACTGAGGATGTGTTGGAAGCACGGATGGAGCTGTGCTCATTGATATGACGCCATTTTACTAACCTTTTCGGCGCGGATCGCGACGATCCACTTAAGGTGCTCCACTTCGTATCACTTGAAAAGCGATAAAATTTCACCGTTCAGATTTTGCGAATCGTGCAGGCTTTTTCGGAATTCGAAGCGATTCGCTCAAGCCGTAGTTCGCCGAAAGGTACGCATTTCTTGTTTGCGCTCTGCTATCATTCCTATGTGCAACAAAAGCTCACCAGCAACACTTTTTTGCTGAAACTTGTTACCACGGTATTCTGGTTTCACGTGTTTTCCCGTTCGTCGCACTCTGACACCCGTTTCGCTGCGATAGGCCGTTTTTGTGAAAACTTTGAGACTCGGGCATTGTGTGAAGTGAAATGTCCATTGTGAAAAGCTTGCATGTCACACTGTGTGCCCAGTTTTAGAATACCTTTGTTAGTGCTGTTGCAGTTCACTGCTCGTTACTTTGCCAAGTCAGTGTAGTTTAAAGCCAAGGTTTCATCTTCTGTGATTTTTTTTGTCAGCATGGTGTACGACAATTGACCTGTGGATTGTCTCTCACAGAGACAATTCAAAATATTTATTTCTTCAATTTGTCGTCTGACAGATGCCTACCTTATGTGAGAAATGACTTTGAATATTTAGTTTCATAGGTATTCTTCATGTTTCAATTATATTCTTGAAAAGAATAAAATATCCTTTGATAAGTTCGATGTAACAGGTGGCTGTGTAAATATACCAATCATAACATTGGTTACAACGACAATGATGATTAATTATGGCATAAGGATGTGCTTTAAGCCGTTTCTGATTTCTATTTAATAAGTGTATAACATTTGAACATCTGAGACAGTAAATTTGCTAATGCTTTGGTTGTTTGAGCAATGTTTGTCATGACTTTTACATATATACGTGATTTATTCGCTTGGTATGCTTTGTGAAGAGATATACGTGTAAGTATCTTTGTGTTAAAACGTATATTTTGTATGTTGCAGGTAATACCACTATAGTCAAGCAGTGCTATTATGGAAGATGAAGATGGTGAAAGTAAAATCATGGATATGTGGAGCATTTTGGGAAAGCAACAACAACTTAAAGACACTTCTATTGGAAATTCGTTAAAGTCATCAATTGACAATATATACACCGATGTAATAGAAGAAGAGAAACAATTATTGCAGTATAATTCTATTACAACCAAAGATTCACCAAGCAAGAATAACACTACAGGATCAAAAATTGTATTTAAAGGGTTTAAGAAACGTATTCTGGCACAAGCTCAAGAGACGCAAACAAATACGTTAAAAAATATAGCGCAGGAACAGCAATCGCAACATTCTAATGCATTGTCCAGAAGCAGCAAGGAGAAAAGAGCGGAAATTAAACGGGGCAAAATAACGGAATATGCACAATATTTAGGTCTTCAGCCTTCATCGAAAAATAAGTGTTCAAAGTGTCAGTCATCGTCAAATTTGTGCTCTACGTTGAAACAAAGTTCATGTACTTGTAGTTCCACAATGACGCCAATGCCCAGTACATCGGAATCATCTATAGTGCCACATTCACCTAATTTCAAAATCACGAGGAAGGTTTATCTTTGCGCGGCATGTGGCACGTATTTTGAAAATTGGAACTTGTTTTTACACATGAGGGACATACACAAACGTCATATATGTTTATTTTGTCTTGGAATGTTTGGGCAAGCCGAGAGGCTGTCGCATCATTTAACAAAGAAGCACAGCGTTCCAGAGATGGCGTTCACGTCTGTCGAAGATTTTTATGGTGCTTTCAAAGGATCGTGTTACTTAGTTTGTTGTACGTGCGAGAAAGTTTTCTCAGAAACGGATAACTTTTATAATCATTTTTGTTCGCCAACGTCTAAGCAAGATGTCACTGCTTCCATATGCACGTTATGTAGACAAACAGGCTCACACGCAAGTACATGCAGTTTGGCCGTTGAAACCAACAAAGAAGTAAATCCTACTTTACCAGCTGCTGTGCAAACAGGGACTACAACATCGGCTAACATGCTTGATAAAGGTGTAAATAGTGACAATAAGACTGTTGCAAGGAAATCAATGAAAAACAATAGGTCTAAATACATGGAGGATGGTACGACGAATCAGCAGAAAATGAATGTTCACGGGAAAAAGATGAATAATAAAATCGCCGTGTCTCAGTCGAACGAGAGCCAAGCATTTGACGAAACATCGAACAGGGATGAAAATTCTCGAAACGTAGTAACGCACGATTTAGTTAAAGACACGGTTTCAGAGACGATAATGGAGGTCTCGAAGTATATCGAAGAGTCGTCTGAAGGTAAGGAAGGATCAAACGAAAAAGAGATTTGTCAAAGTAATTCAAAGTTGAATTCAACCGATTCACCTAGCCATACCATGCCATACGATAGTGTAACAGAAACTATTATGGAGGTATCACGATGTACAAATAACGTAGAAGAGTTTGGTGACAAAAGTAAGAGAGAGAGTATAGATGTAGTCGACACGTTGAATAACTCTGACAAATCGGAAACGAATTCCAGCGAAACGGCCAAGCTCGACGGGGGGACAATCGAGGTGGACAATGTTAATTCGGCAAGTCGAGAAACAGAAGCAGATGCGATCAAAGAGAAGCTAGAAGAAGACACGTTGAAAACGGACGACTCTAATTCCCACGAGTGTGAGAGTGTCGCTCATAGTCCAGTCAGTCGATCGTTATTCAGCCCGCAGCACGAGTCACACTTGTCCGACGTTGTTGTTCAGCCCAAAGAAGAAACCACTTGCGACAATGATAATAAAGAAAATTTCGACGTACCTAACGAATCTCAGTCTTCGGTGTCGTTCAACGCTACCAGCGAAACGTCCGATAGAAGTTTAGTCATAAAGATATGTACCAATAGAAATTCTCAGTTCTCTGTCGCGACTCACAGGGAGAGCGCAGAGGACGGCATTGGTAAGAAGGAAGAGGAAAACAACAATGCGGAAAGCTCGCTGACAGAGGAGAGACAGTCTGATATTTTCGAAGAGGAGAAGGACAACAACGCCGGTTATCAAGTGAATGACGAAGACAGCGATTCCGATAGTTTGAAATTAGCGGTGGTAGACAATGTGGCCGAAGAGGCCGAGGATGTGGACGAGAGGAGCGAGCAGAGAGCGGTAACAGGGATTGAAATCGAGACGAATATAACAAGTATCGAGAGTAATGGAAATCAGACGGAGATGATGAAGACAACGGTCGACGTGAACGACACGTCGAGTGTGAAAGAGGATGAGAAAGCGAAAGGGGATGGCGAAGATCACGCGGAGAATACAGTAGAGTCGCAGATGCAGCAGCCGAACGATAGCATAATACTGGCTGGGGAGGATGTACCTTGCATCGATCTCAACGTTGACGGCACTTTAGACAGCATAGAGATAGAGGATTTACTGAAACGTTGTATAGAAGCAGCCAGCCCTTTCTGCGTTTATTGTAATCACGCGCGTCACATAGCAGTGAATGGGAAGCAGTTAGGATTGCACATGCTTGCAGAGCATAAGTTCCAACCTCAGCATCCCGCCATAATCATCCAGCCGGAGCAGTTTGTCGTTAGAGTGAAAAAGTCCCTCGACGAGCTGGACTCTTACTCCTTTAATTTAGATTCTTACAGTAGCACAAACGGTACATACAATATCCCAAGCGTGAGAACGTACGAATGCTTTCATTGTAGATTTCATTCTGCCATACACAAGGAACTTTACCTGCACAACCGGAAGATGCATCAAAAGACAATCTTAATTTGTATAATGTGTAAATCCACTTTCTATAGTTACAGCGAGTTACTTTGCCACTTGTGTCCTGGCATATACTCGCCAAATATCAACGTCAGGTACAGGTGTTGCCTTTGCCCGGTGGCAAACCTCCCATCCGCATTTAGATTGATGGTACACCTGCGTAAAAGGCATCACGCGTGCGACGTCTGCCTGGAGTCTACCGGGAATCAGCAGCGTCTGTCGAATCACGTTTGGAAGCACAAGCTTCATCACCTGTGCTACAGATGCGGCATTGCGTACAGGAACAAACCGGACATCACGAAACATCTGTTTTGGAAGCACGGGACGGAGAGCGTACTGTGCAAGAAATGCCTACAGAAAAAGTGGCCACATATTTATCACTTTTGCATACCACCGACAGCTTTCGTCTGCGAAGAGTGTGGCTCTAGTTTCTCGCGAGCAGTCGCCCTGAAGGTACACAAGAGGTTACATTCCGGAGATCATCCGTACCCTTGCAGCGAGTGCTCCGAGCGTTTCATATCTCGAAAGCTGTTGGCCAAGCACGAGGATGCTCACAAAGAACCGCCAGCGGCGATCGGCGCAAACCTGATTGACACGATGAGTCAGCATCCGGTGGTCAACGATCAAGAGAAACTGGACAAGGAAAAGGTAGGCGTGACCGATGGCAACGCGACTGTTGCCGAGTCGATGAAAGACGTTAAAGAGCCTGTGAAAAAGGTAGTCGATGTCTACGATCTGCCACCTTTGAACTTGTCCTCGGACAGCGACACAGACTCCGAGGAAAAGAAACCCGAGACCAAGGAATCCGAGAACGTGGAACTGGTGAAATCGGCCGAGGAGAATCAAGCAACGTGCTCCACCGTGGACCAAGCGAGGCCCGTTTCTTCCTCCGTGGAGCCTGTCGTCGACAGCATAGTAGAGGTTGAACAGAACGAGGAAGAGAAGGAGCAAGGAGCGCAGATCATGGACGGTATCTGGGACAATTTCAAGAGCTACACGGCCAGTTTAGAGATGAAAGAGACAGCAGCCGGCAGCTTTGCGATCAAAGAGTCAGAGCCGGAAACCGACGTGGCGTTCTTGAGGAGTATAGTACTGGCCGATCACGATTACTGCGTTGTATGGTCGGACAAAGAGACCGACAAAGACGCAGCGGCAGCGGCGGCGGCGGCGGCGTCTTCGTCTTCGTCGTCTTCGTTCAAGGCGAAAGAAGACGCGGTGAACTCGAGCGGGGACCAAGATTATTTAAACAAGGTGGTGGAGAAGAGTCCAACGTTGGATGCCAACGACGTGCAAAATGGCAACGCGGACGAGCCAAATGGCAAGAAGGCGAAAAGTCCGAAGAAAAAGAAGCAAGGTGGAAGTACATCGTCCAGCGACTCGTCCAGCGACAGCGATTCCAGCAGCTGTTCCTGCGGGACGAACTGCAGCTGCAGCAGTTCGTCGTCCGGTAGCTCTTCCAGTTCTAGCAGTAGCTCCGACTCGGACAGTTCCACCTCGGAGGGTTCTCCGAAGAAACAGTCGAGCCGGAAGGAACGGAAAAAGGAGAAAGAGAGCACGCAGGAGCCGGAGAGCAAGCAGATCTCTCCGGAGATGAAGAACGGATCGGCGACGGTGCCGGTGGTGGAAGCAGTTTGCCCGCCGCAGCTCTCGCTGAAGGAGTCCGATCTGGAGACCGAGGAGACAGAGACGGACGAGGACTTTTACGACGAGCATCCTCAACAGCTTGCGAACAAACTGCTCGCGGAGAAGCGAAATCAGCTGATGCTGTTGGCCGCGGTCGCACCTGCGTCCACAGAGTCGGCGATCCCGTTGAACAACGGGTTAACGGACACGGACACGGCGGCTCCTTCTCCGGATCCAATTTCTGCCACCACGGTGGAAAATCAGTCGCAGCACCAACAACAACAGCAGCAGCAGCAACAACAACTGCAGCAGAAGAAAAAGGTGAAAACGAAGAAACGAAAGAAGGGGGAAAAGACGAAACAGCGTAACTCGACGCCGACGGTCGAGTCGATTAAACTAAACATTCCTAAAGCGTTTTACCAAAAGAATCCGGGTTATTCGGCGTCGTCGCCGGCGTTGAACGTGTCGACGAACGACGTGCACGCGATGAACGCGGCCATCGAATCGCACGCGATAGGGGCGGCTGGTGGTCAAGGGCAGATCGGTGGCAGTGGTTCCGAGGCGGAGAGCAACAAACGGTCGTCGAAACGGAAACGAGTACCGAAACGATTCTACGGCGACTCGAGCGACGACGAGGCGGAGAAACAGCCGACGGTGAAGTGGAGGAAAGTGGAGGCGGCGGCAGCTTCATCGTTCGCGACAGTGCCGCCAACCGTGGTGAAACAATTGCCACCGAGGCTGCCATTTGGCGGTAAGAGCATGGCTTATAGGCCGATCGAGAGCCAATCGGATAATCTGGCGATCGCCGCGGCGTCTGCCACCGAGTCAGAGGAACCGGAAGCGGAGAGCAGCACCGACTCCAGCGACACCGAAGTAGAATCCAGCCAGCAGATGCAGACGCATCTGTCGTCTGGTAATCCGTCGTCGGCCCCGGAACGGCCCGTCAATTTGTATTGTTATTGCCAATGCCCGTACGACGAAGTGTCAGAGATGATAGCTTGCGACGCCGAGGATTGTCGCATCGAATGGTTTCACTTCGAGTGTGTCGGTATCATGGTACCGCCGAAAGGCAAATGGTACTGTCCAGACTGTCGAAAGAAACACGGTATCGTGCAAAACAGCGAGGACTACTTTGACTGATAGCGTCGGATAGCGTCTTGAATGCGTGTTGAAGATTTCGTCTCTAAGTACGATTTGGCAATGGGTGTTCAATTCTCTCTCTCTCTCTCTCTCTCTCTCTCTCTCTGCGTTTCTTCCTCCTTTCTTCTCCTCCCTGTTTATCTATCTGTATCTTCCTCTTTCTCTTTTAAAGCTTTTTTTTTTTACATAATTTAACGAGAATGATATGTTCGAAAAATGTAAAACGTTGCCCGCTTTTGTTGGACTTTTATTTGTCAGTTTGATCGAATTCTATGGGAGCCTGAAATATTAATGAATTTTTAAAAACTTTAAATGCTTTATGAATATATATATATATATATATACACACATGGCGCAGCATTGAAATACTAAATCTATGTTGAATGTCTTTTTTTTATTATGCACGCAATGCTCGCTTAATATAGTTATAGTTATAGTCTTACATTTCCTTTGTTCAAGATAATTAAAGAATTTCCGATAGTAACATTCATATTCAATACTAGTGATCACTAGTGAGCAAGGTTCACCCGGTTAATAGTGTTGAATTACTGTTCAAACGTGAATTGACAGATAATGGTGAGGGAAAAAAGGAGAGACGACGACTCAGAGAGAATTGTATGTCCATTCTCTATTCCCAACATTTTTTTTCTTTCTTTCTTCTTCGTAAACGAACGAGTCGACACACTGTGTCGCACGTTGATATTTTTCTTGAAAAAAAAATACGACGCGACGAATGAAATGAAAAAGAAAAAAGAAAAAAAGAAAAACGTTTGTATATAATTGTAAATACGCCTTAGAGTTTATATAAACAAGGAAGTAAGGTTTTTTGTGTACATTTGTTTGTACTTCTTTTAAATGACAAAAAAGTGCGCGATGTATAAATTTAGTGGTAGCCGGATAGGCAAGTTAATAGCGTAACTAAAGCGAAATTCTAGGCTACGTCGTAGAACGAAGAATTCTCGAAGCCTAGCGTGAGAGGGGAGGGCTGTGTTATCATCAATTCAAAATTGCGATAGTCGCGGTTGATACGACTGTCGGCACTGCTGGCGGTGTCTGTGTCCCCCATCAGATGATCGCATTTCTTTTTTCTTTTTTTCGACCACCATTCTGCTTCTAATCGTCTTCGGATATATGTCCGAATTATTCTTAAACCATCGTCATCGCCATTGTCATCGTCATTATCATTTTGTTCCCTCTATTTTTTTTTTTCGCCGTTTCCTTTATTTCTCATTTCCTTGTGTTCTTCGTCGCTTGAATCTCTTTCAAATTTTTACAATTACGCGTTCGGACCTTTGTTCCTGTCTCTCTCGCTCATTCCCCCCCCCCTTATTTTTTACTAATGTACCTACCGCGAAAGAAATTGAAATTTCTTTTGGTAGAATTTTTTTCTATCGTTCCGTTGCGCTTCATGTTTTAGAATAAAATAAACGAATTAACTAGCGGATCTTTTATTGTTTTTCTAGTCTAGTTCTTAGGTTTTTTTTTTTCCTTCTCCCCTTCATAGTAAACATTTTCCAGATGATTGTACAGCTGTAGGCACTTTGTTCAAATCAGTCCGTAAAATTTCTTTTCATCCAATGTTTTCTAGTTCATCAAAATCCAGTGAAATGCGAGTGTGCGATGAAACGCGAGTGTAGAAATCGGTGTAACGATTATATACGTATGTATATCTGATCGAAAAAAAAAAGAAAAAAAAACAATTCCATTTGTCAAGAAATATTAAGTTTAGTATTTATACTACTAATAATATTATTATTGAATAATTACGTCGAAAATTGTTTTATTACGTACGTGAAGTCAGCCGTGATTTAATCTTACAAGAAGAAATAAAATGATCGTCGGCCACGGTTAAAGGAGGAAACATCCATTTTTACACAGATTGAACTTATCTTTGTCCTTCAACCGATTTCGTTATTCAACATAAAAGTCTTACGATCGAGTCTGCCAATCGCTGAAAAACGTTCATTTTTATTTTCAACGCTTCAATGAAGAAAAAAACGGCATATGCGTTAATGTTCGTACATGTTTAATAGGAAAAACTCGCAGTACATTGTAATGGTAATAATATTAGTATGGTAATAATAATCAACGTTAATGTGCCAGAAATACAACTAATGACAGATTAATTAATTATCGTCAGCCCTCGTTTCCTCTGGCAATTCAATACCCATGATGTCCGCGATGAAATCTTTGTAAGATATCCTCTGTATTATAAAAAATAATAATACATTACTTTCGGCGAGCCTAACTGATGATTTTCATTTTTCTTTTACCAAATTATTCGATTCACTTCCATAGCTGTATTTCACTATAATCTACACTTGATTTCATTAATTATACATTTTTAACAAGGTCGCTTGTTATTTCAAAGAATTTAGTTTCATTCGTTCAAAGAGCTAAATTTTAAATAAAGTTAAGGTATTTAAGATTTTGTCTAATTACCGAAAGTTGTTGTTATTTTTAAATCGAACGTTGTTTTAAATTAAATTTAATTTTGAACGTTGTTTTCCTACGAATGATCAGTATTAATGGGAACATGTAAGTGCAAGTTGTCCAAGTATTGATCTATTTTCAACGCTCAATATGAGAAGAAGTAGAATTCAATTTAATTCTTAAATGTACCTCTGGTAGGAAAGAGAAATCAACGGACGCGGATCTCTTTTCATACGTATTTAAATTCTCGTCAAAACCAATAAGAAACTTCATGTATGTAAATGCCTCTTGGATTGTTAATGGTTCTCCTAAAGACAAAAAAATTTATTATAATGCGGAAACAAAAATTCAATATATAGGATTGAAAATATAAACTGCTTAATGATATTGGACGTTTTCCAAGAGAAATGCATAAACCAACCAAAAGCTACAGCATTCTCCATTGAAAATTCATCAGGATCTTCCCCAAGCAATATCCTCATAAATTGTTCCCGAGTTAATACCGGGTTCTCTTCTTGCAGAGCAGGGATTTGATTTGGATTTGCAAAGGTTTGGAAAGCTTCTTGTATCTGATGCAGGGAAATCCCGAAAGCTGGACGGTGGTTTATATAAAACTTGACGAAATCCTCGAATTTAATTTCTTCGATTATGTGGCCGGTCTCCGCGTAATCTCTGTACGAGATCTCACCCATAAGGATTTCTATCTAAAATATCGAATGACTTTATATGTTGTGTATTAAGAAAGCTGGATTGATTAATCCTCTGATAGTGTGGATTGAAAATCGAGGTTTCGATTAAAAAAGAAAAAAAAAAAGTGAAATTATTACTTCCTCGTTGCTAGGATAATATCCAACGGCGCGCATGAGATTTGGTACTTCTTTGGTGCTCACTGTGTCAGATATTACTCTGGGAGCTATTACATTCTCACCTTGATGCAAAATTTGAGCATAATAAAACAGATCTTTTATTTCATTGACGAGCCAGCCTTTTTCGCCACCATCTATCAAACAATAATATGGTGCAAGACCTTCGCCTCCTAACTGCGCTAATATGTCGACAGATCTGATTGTGGGACATAGTAAAATATATAATGATAACAGTAAAATAAATACATGATATCTAACATAGCAAAGAAAAGTGACGAAAAAGGAGAATATATTTTTACAGCAGAAAATTTAGCCTATAATTGGTGTACATATTACACATCTATCTTTCAAACGGTAAACAGATATGTCAAAGAGAGTAAATGTTTTTCTTAATTAATTAATTATCGCATAAAGAAGAATATTTGATATTCTGAGTGATGGTGAGTATGTTGAGAAGTACCTGCGTTTTATTTTCCACATCAGTACACAGAGATCGTCGTAACCAGAAGTAAATAAAATATTTCCATCATAGCTAAGGCAGATGTTGGTGATCTAGTAAAATAAAAATTTCATAGACTGAAATATTTTAAACGTACATATACACAGAGTTTTGTAATTGTAATATACGTGGTCATTCCGCGAATAGAGTCAAATATATTTTTTACACTTGTTGCAATTAGAAACTGAATACATACATACATTATAATAGTATGTACATACATATAGATAATGATATTCTTCTTCAACTTCAAAGAAAACTAGCTCTTATTAATAGGAACTCTTCAACTACTGATTTATAGTTAAAATTACAATTTTTTTATTACAATGCAACTGCATGATGCTGATTTACCTTATATGGATGTCCTACCATTCCTAAAATCTTGTAAGGATTCCCATCAAGAGGAAGTACTTGAAGACCTATTTCCTTATTAGTTGCAAATACCATGTATTTACCAGTTTTATATTCTTTACCGGTTAATACCTGTAACGATGCTTTGAATTATACATAAAATAATGATTTCTTTTATAAATACACTAAAATTTGATTCATGATATGACTCACTTTGAAATGTTTAACCGGCGCATCATAAAGCGGTCCCAAAAATGTTCCTCGGATTACTTTCGTTATGTCGTTTAACAATCTGTATTTGTACTAGATAATGAATAACGAGTATTACAATATTACATGTATAACAGATACTGTATGAGATGTATAGTGCACATAGCATTTGCCTAACTGTCTAACTTAATAAAATACGTATGTAAGGACATATCTCTATGTGTATGTATGTACAGCGTGTTGCTTGAAACTGCGTGATAGAAGAGTAATCCCTATAAATAAAAGAGTAATAATAAAAGAGTGATCTCCCTAAGTAAGTACTTAGTTGCTAAAGTCACTCCCTTCTCTACCAAATATGAATATGAAATCTGACAAAGTTTGTCTTAATTCAAATTACAGAATCAATTAAAGATATACAGATTGTTACTTCGGAATTAGAATACATCAGAAATCCTTCGGCACCCAACTCGGGATACCAAGCAAGACAAAGAGGAATAGCTTCATTTTCAACTTGGTAAGTGTTAAGTATCTTCAAACCAGGGAAAGGGAATGGCCCACTGCAAAGTACAAAACATTTCTAGAATTTAATTACATTGTATATATATATATATATTTAATTATATTATATATATATTTAATTACATATATTATATATTTAATATAATTATTT